GGGGAAGGCGCTGGAGTCCTGGGGCCCCGTCGCCCTGGATGCCAGCCTGTGCCCACCTGCCTTTGCCTCCTGCGGGGAAGTAGGATGGGGCAATCCATGGGCAGCTCTTACCTCAGCTGATGCAATGCGGCCACTCGCGTGTGCCAGTGACCTGCCTGGCAGGCCTTCGGGGCATGGGGCAGCAGCTTCCCTGCGTGCTGAACTTGAGCAAGGGGGCAGTGGACCACTTGGCAGGACCGCTGCCCCAGCCCCTCCTTCCGCAGCCTGGAGGCAGGCAGGGAAGGAACCACTGGCTTCTCTGTGCCCTGGCGCACGGGACAAACTCAGATGCTCAAGGGACAGACACGTGAGTTAACGCACCTGAGAGCACCAGAGAGCCCGTCAGAGCTTCGTGAGGAGAGGCGAGATACTGGGTCCCCGCTCCCTGCCTAACTGCTGGGCCTGAGCAGGAAGCAGGGGCAGAGCCTGGTTTGTTTAAGGAGCCGTCAGGCTCAGCTGGTGAGAGGAGACACCTCGTGCAGCCAGGGGAGAGCAGTAGGCACGGGGCTGGGGGGGCCAAGGAGGACGTGCTGCCAGCCCCAGGCTCCACCTCCTCCCTCCCAGCGTCCCTGCGGCTGGCGGCAAGATTTCTTCTCACCCCTTCTGTCCCGCATCTCTCGAACCCAGTCCTTTTCTGTGCTTCAGACCCCAGATTCCAGTTGCCTAATGTCACAACCCCCGAGAGAAATCACAGCAAGTGAAATCACAACACTGAGCCATGTGTGACCCAGGCTTTCCTCTCCTGCTTCTTGATTCTCCGCTGTTAAGGGGGCCGGGGCAGCTCAGGGCCAACACTGGTTTTCTCTGATGACCTCCTTTCTGCCTCAGCCATCAGGTACAGGTCCTGTCACTTGTGCCTCCTACACTGATGCTTAAACTCTTCTCTCCGTCACCTCTCCAGCGCCTTCACGCCCTCTAGCCATGGACTCTCTGACTAGCTTTCTGCAACCCTCCCATGCCTCTCAGTCCAGCCTCTGCACCCTAGATTGATGGTCCCTCCACCACCCTCCACTCCCAAGTTTAAAGCCCCTCAGTGGTGCTCCCTGGCCCATAGCTTAACTCCGTGTGCGCGGCAGACCAAGGCCTCCTCAGCCTACCTTTCGTGCCTGCGCTTCTCCAGCCCCTGAACCCCATAAGCCCCCTGAGCGTCTGTGCCCAGAAACGCCCTTCCCTGACTCGCGTGCCGTGATCACTGCGCAGCCGGCATTTGCTCAGAAGCCTCAGTGCCCCTCGGACGTCCTCTCCCTGGGCCTCAGCCGCTCCCACCTGGCACTCGCCACGCTGTCCTGGAATCACACATACCCTTCCTTCTGCACATCATACCATCTCTGTGCCCCTTGCACCTAGCACAGACTCCACGTTTGTCAGAAGGGAGCCAGGAAGGGAGGGAGGGTGGCAAAGCAGGCCATGTCCTTTCTGTACAGACCTTTGGGTTGTGACAGGATCTCCTGGGGGATGGCCGGCCCCGGCCCCTCAGCCTCCATTTTTCCAGTCACCAGTGCCATGGCTTCGGTGGTGAGGTTGTCCAACGGATCCTAAATATGAAAGTAAAATCTGTCAACAAGCTCTTGTCTCTTTCAGTAACCTTGGGGGCAATATCATCAATGAGGTGGTCCTGAATCTGCTTAAGGCTGGAAAGGCCCGGGAAGAAATTACCATGGAACACCTGGAGCCCCACCTCCAGGCTGAGATTGCGGCGTCCACAGGTAACTGCCTCCCGGCCACACAGAACATGAGCCTCTGCTGAGAGCCACGGGTGGCGGTAATCTGTATGTGGTAGAAATGTGTCCTTGTAAGGCAGACAGTGTACCCGGGACCACAGGACACACCTGTCATCTTGTCACCTTCAGGTGGGCACAAGAAAAGTGCCAAGAAAGTTGAACTCTTCTTTTGAAAATATTTTGAAAAAGAGTAGTTTGCCCCAGCTCTGGAAATACAGGCAATGGCCTGTGAAGCCTGTGGCCCTCAGGGGCTCGGCCCCCAGAGGTAGGGCCGCCCTGCTTTCTGCCATCGAACGAAACCATACAGCTGGCAGTCACAGCCCCCCTCTCCTGCCTCGCCTGCAGCACATCCACTGTCAGCCTTCTCTGAAAGGAGACACAGCTTGGAGAGTTCTTGTCACACACTGCAGACAGCCTCCTGGAGTGGCCTGAGGTCACACCTTGCAGACCTCAGGGTTAGGGACACCTTAGAACTCCAGTTGGGTGCAGCCTCAGGTCAGATGCCCGTGTAACTCCGGTCTTCATTTCAGACAGTGACTTTGGCCACAGCCGTCTTGTGAAGGAAAACCTGATTGACTTCTTNTCTGTTCCATTGATCTATGTGCCTGTTTTTATGCCAATACCATGCTGTTTTGATTACTATAGCTTTGTAATATCATTTGAAATGTAACTCACCGGGAATCCCCCCTTAGAAGGGCATTAAGTTTTCAAGTCAGCAAATTAGTTGAAAATCAAGTACAAACTACCCTCAAAAATGCTCAGGATAGACTCAGTCAGAGGGTAGTTTCCTAATAAGGCCAGATCTGCGTGTTCTCTCCCCAGCCTTGGAAGGTCTGTTTCTTCCCTGATCATGAGGAAGTCACTGGCTTAAAATTCAGGGTACAGTGTGTTGAGTGGGAAGCGTTGCCTGCCTCCCAAGTGGCAACCCCACCATGCTGGGCTCGTCACTCAACTGCTGCTTTCCCCTTTCTGCTTTGTTCAGCTGTGTGCCCCAGGCTGTGGAAATGGCTTTGCAAAAAGCGAACTTGCACATCAGCTTGTCAAGGCTTATATTTTTATGGAGGCTTCAACTGGGAATGTCCTGCCCAAGGTGTGTTAGAAGTCAGGCCTGGGTCCCTGTTGGCCCAACTTGGAGTAGAAGGCAAACCACTTGTTCCCCCAGCCCTTCCCCTCCGCAGGCCAGCACATGCTTGCTAGGCGATTTCCCCAGCTTTTGGGGGTACCCTGTGAGGGTGTGGAACTAGGGGGTCTGGTTTTTCATCCAGGGTGGAGACTGTGAAGGAGTGAGCCCTGGAGGCCAGATCTTGTCTCACTGTGGACACACAAGACAAGATGGAACCAGTTGAAACACCAGGCTGAGGTTTCGGTGCATTGATGGCACTACGTGCTTTGTGAAGGAGGGCAGGGGGGGCCTCCCAAGGTGGTTTTAAGAGAAAAGCAGTGGTTTTCTGACATGATTGGCTCTGTATTGTTGACCAGCTTCTGGGGCAGCCCAAAGAATAGAGCACTTCCTGTCGCAGTGAGTTAGGTGGAGGGCGTCTAGGAGTTTGCAGACACCACCAGTCCCTCCCACCGAGTGCAAGGAAGCCTGGTGACCGGCTCACTGGGCATTCCCTGTTGTAGAAATCTGTTGACTTTGCGCCTAGTTCCTTCCTCTCTCCTCGGCCTGAGCCAGCTCTGCCTCGTGGCTGAGGCTGACCTCTCCTCCACTTGGGTTCGGCCCGGTTCTCTGCACCACTGCCAGGATTTCCTAATGTGATGTAGGTGAACTTGCTCTCTCTACACAAATGTTTGCCCTTTCCCCCAGTGTCCCAGACTTTGTGCACCATCCGAGGTCACCCATGGACCATGAATGGTTGAGACAGGACCCTGTGGGCCTGTGCTACCCCAGGATGGAGAGGGGGACGCCACACCTGTGACAGGGATGTGGCCTCAGTGCCCAAGGGCCAGCGCCGTCCCACCCTCTAAACCCTGAAGGTTTTCAGGAATTCTAGTGATGGGTGGGGGAAGACCATATAGTTGAGTCTGTTCAAGAACAGAAATGCAGCTGAGTAAATTGGAAGATCTGCTTGGCTTTATGGAGCGATTCGCGAATCAGGCAGCGGCCCATCCAGCAAACAGGTGCTCCGAGCAGCTGTACTC